CTGGGATTGCATCCGTGGAATCGCAGGATTGTGGGATGGGTGAGGTTGAGAACTGTATCCAAGACCATAAAGTTCAAGGTTTGAGAATCATGGAATTATGGGATCATGGAGCCATGAAATGGTGGAATGCTGAAGTTGGGAAAGAGCTCCAAGACTCACCAACTTCGACCCCTGAAAACCCTGAGGTTTTGGAATTATGGGATCATGGAGTTATGAAATGGCTGAGGTTGGGAAAGGTCTCCAAGAACATGAAGTTGGAGGTTTGAGAATCATGGAATTATGGGATCATGCAGTCATGGAATTGTGGAATAAAATAATGGATTTATGGAATGACTGAATTTGGGAAATAGCTCCAAGAACATCGAGTTTGACCCCTGAAAACCTTGGGATTTTAGAATGATGGGATCATGGAATCACAGAATAATGAGATCACTGAGGTTGGGCAAAATCTCTGCAACCATTGAGTTCAAGCTTTGAGAATTCTGGAATTATGGGATCACAGAGCCATTGAATCGTGGAATGACTGAAGTTGGGAAAGAACTCCAAGACCTACTGAGTTCAACCCCTGAAAATTCTGAAATTATGGGATCATGGAGTTAAGGAATGGCTTATGATGGGAAAGAGCTCCAAGAACATCAAGTTCAACCCCTGAAAATCCTGGGATTTTGGAATTATGGGGTCATGGAATCACAGAATAATGGAATCACTGAGGTTGGGCAAAATCTCCAAGACCATCAAGTTCAAGGTTTGAGAATCATGGAATTATAGTCATGAACTACTGAGATAATGGAATGACAAGATCATGGGAATGTTGGGATACTGAATTCCTGGAATCAATGGATCCTTAAGGCTGGAAATGACCCTCAAGACCCATAGAGCCCAAACTTGGGGAATCCTGGAAAGACAGAATTTTGGGATCATGAGTTTATGGGATAATGAAATTCTTGAGTCATGAACTATTGGGATAACAGAATAATGGAATCATGGGAACATCAAGATAATGAAACCCTGGAACCACGGGATCACTCAGGCTGGAAAAGACTCCCAAGATCCCCAAGCCAAACCTTGGGAATCCCTCCAGAGCCCAGGACAGCCCTGCTCCTTGGAGAACTCACCAGAGGATCTGGCGCAGATTCCCAGAGAGCCGGGACGATCCCAGGTTGAGCTCCTGGAGTTTGGGCAGCATTCCCAGCTGCCCGGCCAGGCAGCGGACTCCGATGGCCGATTCCGGCGTCAGGCGCCGCACGTCCATGTTGCTGTACTGGAGCTTGAGGCTGCGCAGCTCCGGGAAGCGCGAGAGGTGCGGCAGGATCACCGAGAGCCCGGACAATCCCAAATTGTTGAAGCGCAGATCCACCCTCCGCAGACAGGATGGATCCAGAGATTCCAATAAAGTCACAATCCTGGATGCTGAGAGTTCCTCTGCTTGGAATTCGCGGCACTTGAGTCGCAGCGGGCCGGTGGCTCCGGTTTGGAGCGCGTCGCGCAGGATCCCGTAGGACGCTCCGATGACATTGAGGTCGGTGTGGACGTCCACGCCCGGGGGCTTCGGAGCAGCCGAGGCCGTGGCGGCTCCGGAGCGACCTTTGTGCCGCTTGGATCCGCGCCTCAGGAATTCCTGCTGGTGCTTCAACACCTCCACGCAAGCCTTGGCCAAAGCCACGGTGCCGGACCAGACGCTCATCCCGTCAGGAGCGCGGCCGGACGCGGAATCCGGAAGTCCTGTCATGTCCAGCACGCGCAGGCTGGAAAAACAGGAATAATTCACGGAATTCACGAGGTTAGGAGAGACCTTCAAGACCATCGAGTCCAAGGCAAGCCCTAATACCCCAGCTAAACCATGGCACTGAGTGCCACATCCAGTCTTTATTTAAACACTTCCAGGGATGGTGACTCCAGCATCTCCCAGGGCAGACCATTCCAGTCCTTGGTCACTCTTTCCAAGAAAAACTTTTTCCTAGTTTCCAACCTAATTTTCCCTTGATGCAGCTTGAAACTGCGTCCTCTGGTTCTGTCAGTTGCTGCCTGGAGAAAGAGACCAACCCCACCTGACTGCAGCCACCTTTAATGGAGCTGTAGAGAGTGACCAGGTCACCTCTCAGTCTCCTTTTCTCCAGGCTGAACACCCCCAGCCGTTCCTCACAGGGTTTGTGTTCCCCTCCCCAGCCTCATTGCCCCAGCCTGTAACGTTGCAGCGGGTTATTGTGGCCAAAATGCAGGACCTGGCACTTGGACTTATTAAACCTCATCCCATTGGACTCTGCCCATCCATCCAACATTTCCAGATCTCTCTGCTGAACCCTCCTCCCTTCCAGCAGATGGACACACGCTCCCTGCTCAGTGTCATCTGCAGATTTACTAATGAGAGACTCAATACCCTCATCCATGTCATCAGTAAAAATATTGATCAGGACTGGCCCCAGCACAGACCCCTGAGGGACACCACTGGTGACTGATCCCCACATGGATTCAGCACCGTTCACCACCACACTCTGAGCACAGCCATCCAGCCACTTCTTAACCCAGCAATAATAAACCATCAGGAAAACCCACGAGGATGGATGGAGGAATTGGAGGAATGGAGGTTCTGATCATCCTGGAATTCCCAAAACTCACCTGGAATGGCAGCCGGGCTCTTCCAGCTCCCGCCGGAGCTGCGCCACCACGGCCAAGATGATGGCCTGGACGCAGAGCTTGCAGGGATGATCCCGGAGCAGCTCCCGGCGCCCCACGAGCCGCTGGAAGTGGAGCACCGGGAAAGGCCAAGAGGCCACCAAATCCCGCAGGATCAGGGGTCTTCCATCCAGAAATGCCGCTTGGAAAAGGACGGGATAGAGATCGGCGGGAAGGGCGGGAAGAGGACGGTGGGCGACGACGCGTCGGGCGCAGAGGAAAAGGAGAGAATCCATGGATTCTGGGGGGCTGTGGGAGTTAGGTCAAATTGAGGGACCCCCAGCATGTGGGGGAACCAGAGGAGAATTCCAGGGAAACTCCGAATCCGAGGATATCCCGAAGAAAAGATAAGTTGTCGGAGAAGCTGGTGGCGGTGTTGTGAGGGTAGCCCCAGCACTGCTCCCTAAAAACAGGGTCCTGAAGTACTCCTACCCCACCAGAGCCACTCCAAAATCCCTCAAGGATCCCAAGCCTCTCCGGAAATCTCAAAAATCCAAAAGGGATCCCCAAATTATTCCAAAGTCCCCTCAGGGATCCCCAAAACCGACCCCGCAGCCCCCGCAACATGGCACACCCCCACTCATCGCCCACCCGCCCGCAGCCCTAGCCCGTACGGAAGCTACACTTCCGTGTCTGCGCGTTGTAGCAACCAATCAGTGAGGGAGACCCACCTTGGGGGCGGTTTCCATACCTTTAATAGGCTCTTATAGCTGTCTGTCTTTGTTTTATTTAATTCTCATTGGTTTAAGTGCACGGTGGGCGGACCCTTCCACATTCTGCCTTGCCATTGGCTCCTGTCTCTGTCAATCACTCATCCCTGCCTTTCTATTGGCTGATGCTTGTGGGAACGGGAGGTTCGCTCTGAGGCGACTTTGGGGTCCCCTCCGAGCCTCTTTCCATCCCGATTCCGATTCCGATCCCAGGTCCCAGATCCCGATCCCTGATCCCGATCCCTGATCCCGCGGCCATGGAGCGGCAGCAGGAGCTGAAGGTGCTGCTCAAGCGCTGGGAAGCGGAATTCCTGCGGGAAGGGCGGCGCAAACCCAGCCAGATGCTCCTGAGGGGCCGCGGCGGGAATTTGTGAGGGGAATTTGTGAGTCCCTGAGGGGAATCCCTGGAATGGGAGGAAGCTGGGCTGGGGGTCCCCGGGATGGATTTGGGGTACTGGGGAGGTCTTAGGGTGGTTTAGAGGGGTCCTGGAATGTGGGGATTTGGTTTATGGGTTCCTGGGGTTTTATGGGGGGTCCTCAGGCTAGTTTTGTGGTGTTTGGGTGGTTTTGGAAGCCCCTGGAATCGGAAGGATTTCTTTTAAAGGGGTCCTGAGGGCTTTTGGGGTGTCCCTGGATAGGGAGAAGGGAATATTTGAGTGTCGTTGTGTGTTTGAGGGGGTCTGAGAAAGTCTTTGAGGTCGTTTAGTGGTCCCTGGAATGAGGGCCATTGGTTTAGATGGGTTATGGGGTTATTGGGGTGTCCTTGAGAGTGGTTTTTGGGGTGCTGGGGGTGTCTTAGGGGTGGTTTTGGGTGCTGGGGAGGTCTTTAGGGTGTCCTGGAATAGGGTGACTTAGTTTAGGGGGGGTCTGGGTTTTCTTGGGGTGTCCCTGGGCTGACTTTGGGATCTGTGGGTTGGTTTAGGGAGTCCCTGGAATGGGGCAAGTTTGTTTGATGGGGGTCCTGGGCCTTTTTGGGGTTTCTCTGGAATGGGGGGGGGGAACATATTTTTGGGGTTCCTGGGGTGATTTAGGGTGTCAGAGAAAGTTCTCGGGTTGATTTAGGGATCCCTGGAATGAAGTGGATTGGTTTAGGGGTGTCCTGGGGCTTTTTGGGGTGTCCTTGGGCTGGTTTTCGGTTGTCTTTGAGGTGGTTTTGGGGTGCTGGGGGAGTTTCTGGGGTGGTTTAGGGTGTCCCTGGAATGAGGGGGATTGGTTTACGATGGTCTGGGGGTTTTGGGATGTCCTTGGGGTGGTTTTTGGAGTGCTGAGGGGGTGTTTAGGGTGGTGTAGGGGAGTCCTGGGGTTTTTTGGGGTAACCTTGGGCTGGTTTTGAGGTCTTTAGACCACGGGGAAATCCATCTCGTCTGTTGGTAGCTATTCCCCATTCTGCCCTTTCTCTCTCTCTCTCTATTTTGTTTCCTTTAACTCTTCCTCTATCACAAAACTGAGTTGCTGGCACTCAATAAAGTGCATTTTTGCTTTGAGCAAACCGATTTCTCCCCTGCTGTTGTCTTTTGCACCCCTTGATATCAAAACGAACCATCACGACTCCCGCCTGTATTAACAGCAGATCGTGACACCCGCGGTGACCCAGAACGGGCAAACAGGGCCATGGCGTGGCAGTTTCTGTGTGGCAGTTTCTGCGTGGCAGTTCCTGCAGGCAGGGCTGCAGGTTTTCACACCACCGAGGTTTGCTGTGAGTTGTTTGCTGTGTTTCTATTGGCCCCTTGGATTTGGGGTTTCTGTTAGGAATGGTTTTTACACCATGGAAAACTGTGCTTGCTACAAGTGAGTGTAACCAAAATGGAACCATCCAAAAAGGATGAGTCTGAGCAGACCCATTGTGTTTGAGCTGCTCAGTGGTTCCAGGGGCCCTGCATTGTGGAGGAAACCTGCCTGCAGCATGTACAGCTGAACGATCTCCTCTCGCAGGTAGCTGAGCTTATGGAAGAATTTGAATAATTAAGAAGTATCAGGGAAAGTGAAAGGGAAATAGACTGGTGGAGTTCAGCCCTTCCATCTTTGAGGGAGGCCCTCAGAGGCAGAGGAGTCCCAAACCTCCCATTGTCAGGCAATAGGAGGTTACCTGAGAGATGAAGTAGAGTGGAAATGGGTCCCTGCTTGGGGAAGCAGTAATAATAATACTAAATATAAATATAAATATAAATATAGTAATGAATAAGAATAAGAATAAGAATAAGAATAAGAATAAGAATAAGAATAAGAATAAGAATAAGAATTCCGCCCAACCCTCATCCCCCTGCCAGGTGCCACTTGAGAATAGGTCACAGGCCCTGGATCTAGAGACTCAGCCAGATGATTTAGATGATTGAGAAGAAAATAATAAATCTGCCCAGTGAGCCTCCCCATTATGATTCATCTGAAAGACAGATCAGCACCTCTGACATCAAAAAGAAAAGCAGGGTAATCGTGGTGGGTGATCCCTTCTGAGGGGAACAGAGGGCCCCACATGTGGACAGGACCCATCCCACAGGGAGGTGTGCTGCCTCCCTGGGGTCTGGGCACAGGATATCACTGAGAGACTCCCTGGGCTGATCCAGCCCTCTGATTATTACCCACTGCTGATACTCCAGGCTGGCAGGGGTGAGATGGAGGAGTGTCAGGGCAATTAAAAGGGACTTGAGGGCACTGGGCAAAGTGTTTGATAGGACAGGAGCACAGGTGGTCTTTTCCTCAGTCCCTCTGGTGGCTGAGATCAACGGTGAAAAGAAGAGAACTCCCATCATTAACATCATTAAGTGGCTCAAGGCTCGGTGTCATTGGCAAAATTTTGGATTCTTTGATGGTGGGGCAACTTTTATGGCACCTGCCCTGCTGGAACAAGATGAGATCCACGTATCTGTTAAGGGCAGCAGGTTTTTAGCTCATGAACTGGCAGACCTCGTTGAGAGGGCTTTAAATGAGGTTTGAAGGGGGAAGGGGATGCAGCTGGGCTGTGTGGAAGCAGGCCCAAGGGTGGTCAGCCTGAGTTAGGGTGAAATGAGCAGCCCAGCTGAGGTGCCTGTACACCAATGCACGCAGCACGGGGAACAGACAAGAAGAGCTGGAGGCCAGGGTGCAACAGAAACGTGGGGGGACAGCTCACACAGCTGGGGTGCTGCACTGGGTGGCTACAAGCTCTTCAGGAGAGACAGGAAAGGGGGAAGAGCTGGAGGGGTGACCCTTTATATTAGGGAGGATTTTGACCCCACGGATATTGAAACTGATGACGATGGAGCTGAATGCCTGTGGGGGAGAATTAAGGGCAATTAAAGGCTGAGATCCCACTGGGACTCTGTTATCATCCACCCAGCCAGGAAGAAGAGGTGGACAACTTATTCTCTAAGCAGCTGGAGAATGTTTCAGGATCACCAGCCCTTGTCCTTGTAGGTGACATCAACCTGCCAGACATCTGCTGGGAACTGAGTCCAGCAGAAAAGAGGCAGCCCAGGAAAATTTTAGAGTGTGTGGAGGATAACATTTTGTTGCAGCTCGTGGGTGAGCCCAGCAGGGCAGGGACTATGTTAGATCTGTTGTTTGTAAATAGAGATGGGCTGGTGGGAGATGGGGTGGTTGGAGGTCGCTTGGGGCACAGTTATCATGAAATTATAGAGTTCTCAGATTTGGTGACATCAGGAGGAACGTCAGTAAGACTTTTACAGTGGATTTCCAGAGAGCAGACTTTGACCTGTTTAGGAGACTTAGTCAGAGAGTTCCTTGGGAAGGACCAGGGACCAGAGAGTGGTGGTGAACGGTGCTGCATCCAGCTGGGATCAGTCAACCTAAAGTCCAAAAGCCCCAAATCCTCCCCAAATATCCCAAATCCGAAAAAAACCCCCAAATCCTCCATAATCTCCAAATCCCCAAATCCAGGCCATTTTTCTCTTCCAGGATGACATCGAGGAGGCTTCGCAGGAAACCCGCAGTGGGTTTGGGGGGAAATATGGGGTCTTGGACCTCCAAAAAAAAAAATAAAATCTATCGATCGATCCCACCTAACCTGTCCATGGTAATCCACGTAATAAAAACACTCGCAGGTTCCAGGCCCCGGCCGCTGTCCCTGCAGGTACCGGGGCCCCGAGCAGCAGCAGCGCCCCCACCCTCATCGCGACAGCCACCGGAGACCCCCGACACGGCCGGGCCGCCTCCCTGTCGCGACAGGCGACAGCGACAGCAGCGACACCGGCGCCACCCGGAAGTGGCCACCCGGGGGACCGGAATGTGTGCGCACCTCGGGTGGTGCGGCCGTGAAAAGGTTCCGGGGGGAAAGCGAAAGTGAAAGGAGAGAGGCCGAGGGTAGCGGTCCCGCCGCTGTAGGGGCACCTATAGATCTCTAGACACTATAGAACCCCCCCAGACCGCCCTATAGACCTCCCAGAACTTCCCGATAGGGTTTCGAACCTCTAAAAAGCCTCAGCGACCCCATTAAAATTCCGTATAAGCGGCTCCTGGCGCTGCGTGCCCTCATAGATCCCCTATAGATCCCCCCCACCCTCAGCTTGCCGCCATTTTCCCCTCTAGGCCCTCAGGGCCCCACAGGCACCGGGAGAAGCAGCGGGATGAGGGAAAAAGATGGAAAATGAGGTGAGAAAATATCGGGATGAGGGGAAATCGCTGGGATGTGTAGAAAAACAACTGGGATGGGTTGGAAAAACAGTGGAATAAGAGAAAAAGTACCAGGATGAGGGAGTAAAATGTTAAATGAGGGGGAAACACGACAAAATGAGTTGGGAAAATATCGGGATGAAGGGGAAAAATACCAAAATGAGGTGAAAACACCAAAACGATGGTAAAAATACCAAAATGAGATGGAAAATACCAAAATGAGGATGAAAAGAGAGAAATGAGCTGGAAAAACACAAAAACGAGGCAAAAACCCAACAGAATAAGGCCTGAAAGAGCAAAATTTGGTACAAAAGCCATGGGATGAGATGGAAAACTCCATAATAAGGCAGAAAACCACCAGGACTTGGTGGAAAATCACTGGGATGAGGGGAAAGCCACAGGGATAAGGGAAAAATACCTCAATTATGTAGAAATATGGTGGGATAAGGCCAAAACAGCAGAATGAGGCAGAAAATCGCTGAGATGAGGGGGGAAATACCAAAATGTAAAAAGGTGGAAAAACAACAGAATAAGGCTCAAAATACCAAAATAAGGTGGAAAATCACCAGGAAAATATGGGGCTAAGGCAAAATAAAGCAAACCCAAAAAGAGGTGATAAAAAACAAGAATGAGGAGAAAACCACCTGAATGAGGGGGGAAATAATGGGATGAGGACAAAAACACCAAAATGAGGTGGAAAAACAAGAGAATAAGGTACAAAATACCAAAATGAGTTGGAAAAGCATCAGGACGAGAGGGAAAATATTGGGATAAGGCAAAAAGAAAAAACAAAATGAGGTGGAGAACAATGAAAATGAGGAGAAAAACACGACAATGAGGGGGAGAAAAATGAGATGAGGACAAAAACACCAAAATGAGGTGGAAACCAACAGAATAAGGCTCACAATACCAAAAATGACATGGAAAAATACCTTTTTGAGGGGAAGATACTGGGATAAGGCAAAAAAAACCCCGCGGAAATGAGGTAGAAAAACAGTGGTAAAAAGTGGAAAAACCCTGGAATGAGGTGGAAAACTACAAGGATTCAGTGGAGAAACACCAAAATGAGGTGGAAATTAAAGAAATAATGGAGGATTCATGGATCAGGAGAAGGATCAGAAAGATCCCTCAGGAAATCCCATCTGGGCACGACAGACTCAGGATCTGGGACAGGTTGCATTTATTTCCAATGGGATCAGAGCAGGATAAAAAGACCCCAAATCCAACTTTTCCCTCCCCCAATTCATTTTTTCCCAGCTTTCCCTCAATCCCTCCAGCAGTGCTGGGAGCCGGGGCCATCCCATGGAAATTTTCCATGGATTTCTCCAATGTGAATTCATCCCACAGGAAGTTTTCTACGGATTGCTCCATGAATCCATCCCAAGGTCAGTTTTCAATGCATTTTCTAATGCAAATCCATCCCATGGCAAGAGTTTTCCATGGATTTCTCCAATGTGTCATTCCCATGGAAGACAATTCCTCATGGACTTTTCCAAGGGGTAAATATGTCGGGAATATCCTGCTCCAAAGATTTTTTCCTCTGTGGGATTCCTGCCAGGAATCTGCTCCTTTTTCCATGGATCCACAGGTCCCTCCCAAGATCCAGCTTCAGGATGAGCTTCCCTTTGGATGCACCACAGAATTTTGGGAATTTCCACTCCAGCACCTTAGAATCATCACCAAAGTCATTCATTTCCCAGATTGCTAGTCCAGAATTCCAGCTGTGCTGGAATTGGTTTCTTCTGACTCAATTCTTATTCCAGAGGCATCGCCGCTGTTCCCGACAGCATTGGCTGGACATGGGTGAAGCTGCCAGGAGCTTCCCATGGAATCCAACCTTGGAACCTCCTGGAATTTGGCCGTGCAAAGCCAATCCTGATGGAAAAAACACCAGGATGGGCTGGAAAAATCATGAAATGGGATGGAAAAATATCGGGATGAGGCAGGAAAATACCAGGATGGGTTGAAAAAACACTGGGACGGGCTGGAAAAATAAAGAAATGCGGGGAAAGGACTGGGATGAGGCAGGAAAAAAAAATGGGATGAGGGGCATAATATCAAAATGAGGGGAAAACTATCGGGATGAGGAGGAAGAACCTCAAAGCATGGCAGAAAAGCAACTAAAGCAGGGAAAAATCTCAGAATGGGGAAGAAAAATATCAAGATGAGGCAGAAAACTAACAGAAGCAGTCAGAAAAATGTGGTAGCTGAGACTGACAGCACTGTAGATTTAATTAGCGTATGCAGTTTGATAACCAAGATGCCTTGGCAAGAGCAAACAGAGCTTCGAAAATTACGAGAAGATTTGATCAAAGGCGGTGACAGGAAAGATGATTAAGCAGAAATGTAAAGTTTGTCTGTGTGATGTTTAACCAATGAATGTAGTAAAAAGTTACCAGCCTTCCTGAAAATGGTACATAAGCATATGTAGCTCACAGTAAAATTGGAATTCTGATCACCAGTCAGTACTCCGGGTCTCTCTCTCAATCGTCAGTAGAAAAGCAACAAAAATAAAAGACAAAACCACTGGAATGAGACGGAAAAGCAGTAGGATGAGGTGGAAAATGCCTGGATTTCGGGTAGGACATGACGGCGCTTTTTCAGGATGAAGGCTCTGACGTTTTCCTTCCTTGGGAGGTTTTCCCAAATCACAAGGAGAAGTAGTCCAGGGCTTCGTGGCTGAAGGGATTGTAAGTCCAGATGAGATCGGTTCTCCCGGAATTCTCCAGCAGCTGAGAAATCTCCGCAATGTCTGCCGCCAAAAGCTCCTCATCCACAACCTCTTCAAAATCCCAACCGAATTCCGATGGCGCAGGCTTGTAGCAATCCATGGGGTAAGGATACACGACCAGTTTAAGATCCAGCAGCTCCAAGGTTTTCTGGAGCAGACCCTTGAGCGCAGCCGTGGACAGGGAATTGCCGTAGAGTCCCAGGTAGCGCAGGCGGGAGCAGCGCCGGAGCGTCGGGAGCAGCGCCTCCAGGTGGGAGTCGGCCATGTGACATCCCAGGAGATCCAGGTGCAGCAGCGAGGCCGAGGTTTCCTCCAGGAGCAGCCGGAGCGGCTCCAGGAGGCCTTGGGAGACTTTGAGGCCGCTCAGATCCAACTTTTTGAGGGCTGGAGCGTGGAAGCTTTGGGAGAGGAAGGCGAGGTCGGCAGGAGCGAGGGAGCAGGAGCCCAACTCCAAGCTTTCCAACGGAGCCTGGAGGTCGCTGGTGGGAGGGAAAATGGAGAGGTGAGGCCTAAGGGAGGATTGGTGGGAGCTGAGAATGTCGGGATTTCTGGGATAAACGCAGGGAATGAGAACTGCGATTGTATCCATGGAATCACAGCATTGTGGGATGGGTGAGAGAGAGAGCTCCAGGAGCTCCAAGAACATCAAGTTCAACCCCTGAAAACCCTGGGATTTTGGAATGATGAAGTCATGGAGTTATGGAATGGTTGAGGTTGGGAAAGGTCGCCAACACCATCAAGTTTGACTTCTGAAAATCCGGGGATTTTGGAATTACGCGGTCATGGAATAATGGAATCACTCAGGTTAGGCAAAATCTCCATCAAGTTCAAGCCTTGAGAAACCTGCGATTATGGGATCATGGAGCCCAGGAATTGTGGAGTTACGGGGTCATGGAGCCATTAAATCTAGAACACGCTTCAGGATCATCAAGTTCAACCTTTGGGAATCCTGGAATCAAAGAATTATGGGGTCATGGAATCATGGAGTCCTGGACTATTGGAATCATGGAGTCCGGAACTTTTGGGTTAATGCGATCATGGGAACCTGGGATGACTAAGGATGGAAAAGATCTCAGGGACCATCGAGCCAAAACAGTGGGAAAACTGGAATCAAGGATTGGGATAATGGAATTATAGGAGTATTGGGATAATGAAACCCTGAAATCATGAGGTTACTAAGATTGGAGAAGATCTCCAAGATCCTGAAGTTCAGCCTTTGGGAATCCTGGAATTACCGAGTTTTGGGATCATGGAAATATGGGATGGCAGAATCATTGAGTCATGAACTGTTGGGATAATGGAATCACAGGATCATGGGAACACTGGGTTAAGGAATTCCTGGAATCAATCGATCCTTCAGGCTGGAAAAGACCCTCAAGACCTCTCAAGCCTTAACTTTAGGAATCCTGGAATTCAGAATTTTTGGGATCCTGAGTTTATGGTATAATGGAAACTTGGAATCATAAACTACTGGGATAACGGAATCATGGGATCATGAAAATATTGGCATAACAAAATCCTGGAAACACGGGATTGCTAAGGTTGGAAAAGACCTCCAAGATCCTGAAGTGCAGCTTTTGAGAATCCTGGAATCACGGAATTCTGAGATCATGGAATTATGGCACAATAGAGTCACGAAAGGTTGGGATAATGGAATCATGGAACATCGGGATAATGAAATCCTGGAACCACGGGATCACTCAGGTTGCAAAAGACCCCCAAGATCCCTGAGCCCAACCCTTGGGAAGCCTCCAGAGCCCGGGACAGCCCCGCTCTGTGGGGAACTCACCAGAGGATCTGGCGCAGATTCCCAGAGAGCTGGGAAGATCCCAGGTTGAGCTCCCGGAGGCAGGGCAGCATTCCCAGCTGTTTGGCGACCCGGCGGATTCCATTGGCCGATTCTGGCGTCAGGTGCCGCAGGTCCACGTTGCTGTACCGGAGCTTGAGGCTGCGCAGCTCCGGGAAGCGTGAGAGGTGCGGCAGGATCACCGAAAGCCCGGTCAATCCGAAATAGTTGAAGCAAAGTTCCACCCTCCGCAGACAGGATGGATCCAGAGATTCCAACAAAGTCACGATCTCGGATGCCGAAATGTCGACCGCTTTGAATTCGCGGCACTTGATGCGCAGCGGGCAGGCAGCTCCAGCCTGGAGCGCGTCCCGCAGGATCCCATAGGACCTTCTGTCGACAAACAGGTCAGCGTGGACATCCACGCCTGGAGGCTGCGGAGAGGCCACAGCCGTGGCGGCTCCGGAGGAGCCTTTGTGCCGCTTGGATCCGCGCTTCTGGAATTCCCCCTGGTGCTTGGACACCTCCACGCAAGCCTTGGCCAAAGCCTTGGTGCTGGACCAGACAGTCAACCCAGGGGGAGTGTGGCCAGACACGGAATCCGAGAGTCTGGTCATGTCCAGCACGCGCAGGCTGGAAAACCGAGAATAAACCATCAGGAAAACGTGAGGATGGATGGAGGAATTGGAGGAATTGGAGGTTGTGACCATACTGGAATTCAAAAAACCCACCTGGAATGGCAGCCGGGCTCTTCCAGCTCCCGCCGGAGCTGCGCCACCACGGCCTGGAAGACAGCCTGGACACAGAGCTTGCAGGTATGATCCCGGAGCAGGTCCCGGTGCCCTACGAGCCGCTGGAAGTGGAGCACTGGGAAAGGCCAAGCGGCCACCAAATCCCGCAGGACAAGGGGTCTTCCATCCAGGAATGCCACTTGGAAAAGGACGGGATAGAGATCGGTGGGAAGGGTGGGTAGAGGGTGGCGGGCGACGACGCGGCGTGCACAGAGGAAAAGAAGGGAATCCATGGATTCTGGGGGGCTGTGGGAATTAGGTGAAATTGGGGGATCCCCAGGATCAGGAGGAACCAGAGGAGAATTCCAGGGAAACTCCGAATCCAAGGTTATCCCGAAGAAAAGGGAAAGTGTGGGAGAAGGTGAGGGTACCCCCAGCGCAGCTCCCTAAAACGAGGGTCCAGGAATACCTCCACCCTACAGGGGCCACCCCAAAATCCCTCAAGGATCCCAAGCCCCTGCGGGAATCTCGAAATTCCCACAGGGATCCCAAAATTATCCCAAAGTCCTCTCAGGGATCCCCAAAACCGGCCCCGCCGCCCCCACACAGCGCAGCGCTCCCCACACAACGCCCGCCCGCAGCCCCCCTCGCCTCCGGCCCGTACGGAAGCTGCACCTTCGTGTCTGCGCGTTGTAGCAACCAATCAGCGAGCGAGACCCACCTTGGAGACGGATTCCTTATTTTAATTAGATGTCACAGCTGTCTGTCATTTTTTTAATTTTCATTCCCATTGGTTCAAGAGCGACATGGGCTGACGGTTTTACATTCCGAATTTCCATTGATTTACATACCTGTCAATCACTCATCCCCGCCTTTCTATTGGCTGACGCCGGGCGGAAGCGGCGGGTTCTCACTGGGGCGACTCTGGGAACTTGTGATCCTCTTTCCATGTCGATCCCGATCCCCGATCCCTCTTCCCAGACCCCCGTCCCGATCCCGGATCCCGCGGCCATGGAACGGCAGCAGGAGCTGAAGGTGCTGCTGAAGCGCTGGGAAGCGGAATTCCTGCGGGAATCGCGCCGGAAACCCAGCCAGGTGCTCCTGAGGTGCCGCAGCCGGAGTTTGTGAGAGGGGAAATCCCTGAAATTAGAGGGGTATTGCTTTGGGGGTCCCCGGGGTGTTTTAGGGGTGCTAGGGGGGTGTTTAGGGTGGCTTAGAGGGATCCTGGACTGTGGAGATTTGGTTTAGGGGGGTCCTGAGGCTTTTGGGGTGTACTTGAGAGTGGTTTTTGTAGTGCTAGGGTTCTCTTTGGGGCGTTTTGGGGTCTGAGGAGGCCCTTGGGTTGGGTTAGGCAGTCCCTGGAATGGGGCACGCTTGGTTTAGGGGGTTCCTGGGCGTATCTCTGGAATGGGGAGGAGGGGCATATTTGGGGGTCCCTGGGGGGGATTTAGGGGCCCTGAGTGAATCTCTGAGGTGATTTCGGGAGTCCTTGGATTGGGGGCACGTTTGGTTTAGGGAAGTCCTGGTTCTTTTTGGGGTATCCTTGGGGTGGTGCAGGGGATTCTTGAGGTGGTTTTGGGGTGCTCGGGAGGGTCCTTGGAGTGGTTTTGGGGTCTAAGGGGGTCCTTGGGCTGGTTTAGGGAATTCCCCCGTGGAGGGGGGGGGGGTTTGGTAAGGATTTTGTTCGTTTTTGGGATGCTGGGGGCGTCTTTAGGGTAGGTTTGGGGGAGGGTCTTGGAAGGAAGGAGTTCGTTTACTGGGGTCCGTGGTTTTTTGGGATGTCCTTGGGCTGGTTTTGTGGTCTTTGGGCTGGGTTTGGGAGTCGCTGGATTGGGGCAGATTTGTTTCAGGGGAGTTCTGAGCGTTTTTCAGATGTCCCTGGTGTGGGAGGGGTCATTTTTGGGGCTTTCCTGAGGTGTTTTAGGGAGTCTGAGAGAGTCCTTGAGGTTGTTAGAGGATCCCTGGCATGAGTGGGATTGTTTTAGGGGGGTACTGCGGGTTTTTGGGGTGTCCTTCAGAGTGGTTTTTAGAGTGCTGGGGGAATCTTTCGGTTGGTTTTGGGGTCTGAGTGGATCATTGGGTTGGTTTTGGGAGTGCGTGGAATGGGGCAGGTTTGTTTTAGGGGGGTCCTGGTGCTTTTTGGGGTGACCCGGAGCAGGCACACAGGGCCGTGGCACGGCAGTTTTCACACGGGAGATGTGGTGGTTGGAGGTCGCTTGGGGCACAGTGATCATGAAATTATAGAGTTCTTAAATTTGGTGAAATCAGAAAGAACATCAATAAGAGTTTTACATTGGATCTCTGGAGAGCAGAATTTGTCCTGTTTAGGAGACTTTTCAGAGAGTTCCTTGGGAAGCAGCCCTGAAAAACAAAGGAGTTCAGGAAAGGTGAACGTGGTTCAAAACAGATCTTGAGGGCACAGGAGCAGACTGGCCCTGTGTGCCCAAACACGAGTCAATGGGGCAAACATCCAGCCTGGATGGGCAAGGAGGGTTTGGAACAATTTAGGAATAAAAAGAGGATGTATCATCTTTGGAAGGAGGGTCAGATCTCTCAGGAAATATTTAAGAGCATGCAGGAAAAAAATTAGGAAGGCCAAAGCTCAGTTTGAACTTAAAACAGCAACTTCTTTAAAGGATAATAAAAAAATGATTTTACAGATATATTATGGGAAAAGGAAGGATAAAACCAACCTTTGTTCTTTATTGGATGAGGGAAGGAACTTAGTAACTGCAGATGAGGAGAAGGCAGAAGTTTTTAATGCCTTCTTTGCCTCATTTTTTAGTGGGAAAACAACTTGCCTTGAGGACAGCTGTGCTCTTGGGTTGGCTGATGGTGTCAGGGAGCAGAATTGTCCCCCTGTTATCCAGGAGGAGGCACTCAGAGAATTGCTGAGCCGCTTGGATGTTCATAAATCTCTGGGCCCAGATGGGATCCATCCCAGAGTCATGAGGGAGCTGGCAAAGCCACTCTCCATTATTTACCAACACTCCTGCCTCACTGGGGAGGTTCCAGATGAGTGAAGTTGGCCAATGTGAATCCCATTCACAAAAAGGGTGGGAAGGAGGATCCTGGTAATTCTAGACCAGTCAGCCTGACCTCAGTGCCTGGTAAGGAAATGGAAAAGTGCTGGAGTCACCATCCGTGGATGTGTTTAAATAAAGACTGGATGTGGCACTCAGTGCATTGGTTTAAATGAAGTCTTAGGGAACGGCTTGGACTTGATCTGGAAGGTCTCTTCCAACCCAGTGATTTTGTGAATGCTGTGAAAACTCCCTCAAATCCCAAAAAAACCAAAACCCCCAAAAATGTCAAATTCCCCAAAATCTCTAAACCCCTTAAAACCCAAAATCCCTCCCCAAACCCACAAATCCCATATTCTGCTCTCAAAAATCCCCAAACCTAAAAAATTCAAATCCCAAACCCCTCAATTCCTCCCTAAAAAGCCCACATTCCAAAAACCTCAAAGTAATAAAAAAACCTCAAATCCTCCATAATCCCCAATTCCAGGCCATTTTTCTCTTCCAGGATGACAGCGAGGAGGCTTCGCAGGAAATCCGCAGTGAGTCTGGGGGAAAATATGGGGATTTTGGACCTCCAAAAAAAAAATAAAATCTGTTGATCGATCCCCCCGACTTCTCCATGATGATCCACGTAGTAAAAATACTCACGGGTTCCAGGCCCCGGCCGCTGCCCCTGCAGGTACCGGGGCCCCGGGCGGGCGCAGAGCCGCAGCAGCGCCCCCACCCTCATCGCGACAGCCACCGGCGACCCCCGACACGGCCGGGCCGCCTCCCTGTCACGACAGGCGACAGCGACAGCAGTGCCACCGGCGCCACCCGGAAGTGGCCACCCGGGGGACCGGAATGTGTGCGCACCTCGGGTGGTGCGGCGGTGAAAAGGTTCCGGGGGGAAAGCGAAAGTGGAAGTAGAGAGGCCGGGGGAGGGTCCTACCGCTATGGTGGCACCTAGAGATCTCCAGACACTATAGAACCCCCCAGACCGCCCTATAGACACCCCAGAGCTTCCCTATAGGAACCTCGGATCCCTAAAGAGCCTCAGCGACCCCATAAAAATCCCCTATAGGCGGCTCCAGGCGCTGCGTGCCCTCATAGATCCCCTATAGATCCCCCCACCCTCAGCTTGCCGCCATTTTCCCCTCTAGGCCCTCAGGGCCCCACAGGCACCGGGAGAAGCAGCGGGATGAGGGAAAAAGATGGAAAATGAGGCGAGAAAATATCAGGATGAGGTAGAAAAACACCTGGGATAGGGTGGAAAAACAGCAGGATGAGGGGGGAAAAAGGTTAAATGAGGGGGGAGAAAACAACAAAATAAGGTGGGAAAATATCGGCATGAGGGGGAAACACCAAAATGATGATGAAAAGACAGAAATTAGGTGGAAAACAACAAAAAATGAGGAAAAAACCCAATAGAATCTGGCTCTAAATACCAAAATTTTGTGGAAAAGCACTGGGATGAGGTGGTAAAACACCAAAGTGAGGCGGAAAACCAGCAGGATGAAGGGAAAACCAATTAAATGAGGTAAAACCCCACCAAAATGAGGCAGAAAAGTGCCATGATTTGGAAGAAAAATACTGGGATTAGGTAGGAAATAAGAAAATGAGGTGGGAAAACACCGGGATGAGGGGGGAAACTACAGGGATAAGGGGAAAATATCAAAATTATGTAGAAATCTGATGGGATAAAGCTCAAAACACCAAATTGAAGGAGAAAATCACAGAGATGAGGGGAAAAATACCGAAATGGAAAAAGGTCACAAAACAAATGAATAAGGCCCAAAATACCAAAATGAGGTGGAAAAACACCTGGAGGAGAGGGAAAATACTGGGATAAGGCAAAAAAAGCCCCCAAAATGAGAGGGGAAAATAACTGGAATAAGGAGAAAAACACCAGAATGAGGGGAAAAATAATGGGATGAGGGGGAAATAACAAAATGAGGAGGACACCCATAGAATAAGATTCACAATACCAAAATGAGTTCGAAAAACACCAGGATAAGGGGGAAATACTAGGATAAGGCAAAAAAAAAAAGAGGTTGAAAAAAATGTAAATAATGGAGAAAAACACTGAAATGAAGGGAAAAAGAATGAGGGGAAAATCTCAAAATGAGGCAGAAAGTAGAAAATTGAGATGGAAAACCACTGGGATAAGGGGGTTAAACATTGGGATGTGGGGGAAAAGCACTGGGAGAACGTGGAAAAACAATGGGAGGAGGAAATACCCACCAAAATGAGGTAGAAAAACAGTGGTAAAAAATAGAAAAAAACACAGGAATGAGGTGGAAAACCACCGGGATTAGGTGGAAGAATACCAAAATGACATGAAAATAAAGGAAATAATGGAAGATTCATGGATTGGGATAAGATCGGGAAAGATCCCTCAGGAAATCCCATCCAGGCACGACAGACTCAGGATCCGGGATAGGATGAGTTTCTTTCCAATGGGATCAGAACAGGATAACAAGACCCCAAATCCAACTTTTCCCTCCCCCAATTCATTTTTTCCCGGCTTTCCCTCAATCCCTCCAGCAGTGCTGGGAGCCAGGGCCATCCCAGGGGAGTTTTCCATTAATTTCTCCATGAATACCAAGGTCAGTGTTAAACGTATTTTCTAACACAAATCCATTAACACAAATCCATCCCATGGTAAGATTTTTCCATGCATTTCTCCAATGTGTCATTCCCATGGAAGACAATTCCTCATGGACTTTTCCAAGGGGTCGTTGCATTGGGAATATCCTGCTCCAAAGGTTTTTTCCTCCATGGGATTCCTACCAGGAATCTGCTCCTCCTTCCATGGATCTACAGGTCCCTCCCAAGATCAGCTCCAGGATGAGCTTCCCTTTGAATGCACCACGGAATTTGGGGAATTTCCACTCCAGCACCTTGGAATCATCTCTGGAGTCATTCCTTTCCCAAATTCCTGATCCAGAATTCCAGCTGGGCTATGACTGATTTCTTCAAACTCAATTATTATTCCAGAGGTGTCACCGCTGTTCCCAATAGGAATGGCCAGACCCAGGAGAACCTTCCAGCACCTTCCCGTGGAATCCAACCCCGGAACCTCCTGGAATTTGGCTGAGCAAAGCCAATCCTGATGAGAAAAACACCAGGATGAGCTGGAAAAACCATGATATTGAAGGGGAAAATACCGGGATGAGGCAGAAAAATACCAGGATGGGTTGAAAAAACACTGGGACAGGCTGGAAAAATAATGAAATGGGGGAAAAATACTGGGATGAGGCAGGAAAATACTGGGATGAGGGGAAAATATCGGGGTGAGAGGGAAACTCTTGGGATGGGGAGGAAAATCCTCGAAATGTGGTGGAAAAGCAACTAAACCAGGGAAAAATTTCTGGATGAGGCAGAAAAACATCGGGATGAAGTGGAAAGCTAAAAAAAACAAACAAAAAAGCACCGAAATGAAAAAAAACACTGGAATGAGGCAGAAAAGCACCAAGATGAGGCACAAAACGTCCGGATTTCGAGATGAAGGTGGCGGCACTTTTCATAGATGGAGGCTCTGAGCTTTTCCCGCATCAGAATTTTTGCAAATCACAAAGAGAAGTAGTCCAGGGCTCTGCAGCCTAAGGGAGTGTAAGTCCAGATGAGGTCAATTCTCTTGGAATTCGCTAAGATTTGGGAAAACTCCGCCTTGGCCGCCTCAAAAAGCTCCTTATCCTTCACAAAATTCCGTCTGGATTCCGGCGGCTCCCTCTTGTAGCAATCCACAGGGAAGGGATACACGACCTGGTGGAGATCTGGCAGCTCCAAGGTTTTCTGGAGCAGATCTTTAAGCACGGCCGTGGACAGGGAATTGCCGTAGAGTCCCAGGAAGCGCAGGCGGGAGCAGCGCCGGAGCGTCGGGAGCAGCGCCTTCAGGTGGGAGTCGGCCATGCGGCATTCCCTGAGATCCAGGTAGAGCAGTGAGGCCGAGGTTTCCTCCAGGAGCAGCTGGAGAGGCTCCAGGAGGCCTTGGGAGATGTCGTGGCCGCTCAGATCCAACCTTTTGAGGGCTGGAGCGTGGAAGCTTTGGGAGAGGAAGGCGAGGTCGGCGGGAACGAGGGAGCAGAAGGCCAATTCCAAGCTTTCCAACGGAGCCTGGAGGTCACTGGTGGGAGAGAAAATGGAGAGGTGAGGCCCAAGAGAGGGTTGGTGGGGGCTGGGAATGTCAGGATTCCTGGGGGAAACACAGGGAATGAGAGCTGGGATTGCATCCATGGAACCGTAGGATTGTGGGATGGGTGAGGTTGGGATGGAGCTGCAAGAACATTGAGTTGGACCCTTGAAAATCCTGGGATTTCAGAAATATGTGGTCATGGAATTGCAGAGTAATGGAATCACTGAGCTTGGGCAAAATCTCTGAAACCATCAAGTTCAACCTTTGAGAATCATGGGTTTACAGAATCATGGAGCCATGGAATGATGGAATGACTGAAGTTGGGAAATATCTCCAAGACTCACTGATGTCAACCCTTGCAAATATTGGGATTTTAGAATGACAGGGGGATGGAGTTATGGAATGGCTGAGGTTTGGAAAGGTGTCTCAGACCATCAAGTTTGACTTGGGATTTTAGAATTATGGAGTCATGGAATCCAGGAATAATGCAATCACTGAGGTGGGGCAAAATCTCCAAGACCATCAAGTTCAAGCTTTGAGAATCATGGAATTATGGGATCATGGAATCATGGAGTCCTGGCCTATTGGGATCATGGGATCATGGGAACCAAGGATCACTAAGGTTGGAAATTATCTCAGGGACCATCGAGCCCAAACTTTGGGAATTCTGGAAAAAGGGATTGGAGTAATGAAATCCTGGAATCATAGGGTCACTATGATTGGAGAAGATCTCAAAAACTGTGAAGTTCAGCCTTTGAGAATCATGGAATTACGGAATTTTAAGACCATGGAATTACGGGATGATGGAATCATTGAGTCATGAACTACTGGGATAACAGAATCATGGGATCGTGGGAACATTGGGTAATGAATTCCTGGAATCAATGGATCACTCAGGTTGGAAAAGACCCCCAAGATTCCCAAGCCCAAACCTTGAGAATCTCCCTGGAATCCGAGAAGGCCCCGCTCCGTAGGGAACTCACCAGAGGATCTGGCGCAGAATCCCAGAGAGCTGGGAAAATCCCAGGTCGAGCTCCCGGAGGTTGGGCAGCATTCCCAGTTTCCTGGCCACACAGAGGATTCTGATGTCTGATTCCGTTGTCAGGTGCCGCACGTCCACCTTGCTGTGCTGGAGCTTGAGGCTGCGCAGCTCCGGGAAGCGCGCGAGGTGCGGCAGGATCACCAAGAGTCCGGACAATCCCAAATTCCGGAAGCGCAGATCCACCCTCCGCACACAAGAAGGATCCAGAGATTTCAACAAAGTCAAGATCTCGTATGCTGAGATGTATTTTGCTTTGAATTCGTGGCACTTGAGGCGCAGCGGGCCGGCAGCTCCGGCCTGGAGCGCGTCCCGCAGGATCCCGTAGGACCTTCTGTTAACGACCAGGTCGGCGTGGACGTCCACGCCCGGGGCCCACGGAGTGGCCGTGGTGGCTCCGGAGGAGCCTTTGTGCCTCTTGGATCCGCGACTCTGGAATTCTGGCTGGTGTTTGGACACCTCCACGCAAGCCTTGGCCAAAGCCTCGGTGCTGGACCAGCTGGTCAACGCGGCGGGAGTGCAGCCGGACACGGAATCAGAGAGTCTGGTCATGTCCAGCACGCGCAGGCTGGAAAAACAGGAATAAATCATTAGTGAAACCCGCGAGGATGGATGGAGGAATTGGAGGTAGTAGCCATGCTGGAATTCCCAAAACCCACCTGGAATGGCAGCCAGGCTCTTCCAGCTCCCGCTGGATCTGCGCCACCACGGCCTGGATGACGGCCTGGACGCAGTCAATGCAGGTATGATCCCAAAGCAGCTCACGTTGTTCCACGAGCCGCTGGAAGTGGAGCACTGGGAAAGGCCAAGAGGCCACCAAATCCCGCAGGACCAGGGGTCTTCCATCCAAGAATGCCACTTGGAAAAGGACGGGATAGAGATGGGGGGGAAGGGCGGGAAGAGGGCGCTGGGTGACGACGCGGCGAGCGCAGAGGCAAAGGAGAGAATCCATGGATTCTGGGGGGCTGTGGGAATTAGTTGAAATCATGGGGACTCCCAGTATGTGGGTAAACCAGGGGAGAATTCCAGGGAAACTCCGAATCCAAGGATATTCCGAAGAAAAGGGAAGGTGTGGGAGGAGGTGGGGGCAGTGTTGTGAGGGTACCCCCAGCGCTGCTCTCTGAAAAAGGGATCCCAGAGTACTCTCACCCCACCAAGGCCACCTCAAAAATCCCCCAAGGATCCCAAACCCCTCCAGGAATCTCGAAATTCATACAGAGATCCCCAGATTATCCCAAAGTCTCCTCAGGGATCCCGAAAACCGGCGCTGCCCAACCCCCCAACATGGCGCTTCCCCTCACCGCCCGCTCGTAGCCCCCACTCTACCGGAGCACGAATGAAAGCCCCACTTCCGTGTCTGCGCATTGAAACAACCAATCAGCGAGCGAGTCCCACCTTAGAGGCGGGGCTTGTCCTTCTAACTGGCTTCTACAGCTGTCTGTCGTTGTTTTCTTGAATTCTGATTGGCTCAAGTGGGAAGTGGGCGGATGCTTTTACATTCCGGCCTTCCATTTGCTCAAACCGCTGTCAATCACTAATCCCCGCCTTCCCATTTCCTGCCGCGGGGCGGGAGGGGGAGGTTCGCCCTGAGGCGACTCTGAGGTCCCTGCAGTGCCTTTCTCAATCCCGATCCCTCATCCCTCATCCCACACCCCGATCCCGTCCCTGATGCTGCCTCCATGGAGCGGCAGCAGGAGCTGAAGGTGCTGCTGAAGCGCTGGGAAGCGGAATTCCTGCGGGAACGGTGACGAAAACCCAGCCAGGTGCTCCTGAGGGGCCGCGGCGGGAATTTGTGAGGGGGGGGGAAATCCCTGAGGGGAATCCCTGGATTTTGGGGCGGGGGGGGGGGCGCTGCTTTCGAGGTCTTCAGGGTGGTTTTGCGACCCTGGGGGTGCCATTAGTGTGGTTTAGGGGCGTCCTGGAATGTGGACATTTGGTTTATGGGCGTCCTGACGCTTTTCGGAGTATCCTTGAGGTCGTTTTGAGGTCTGAGGCGGTCCTTGGGTTGGTTTGGGGAGTCTCTGGAATGCGAGGGGTTTGGTTTGTGGAGTGGGGGGGGGGGTCTCAGCTTTTTTGGGGAGTCCTTTGGGTGGCTGGGAGGTCGTGGTGGTGGTCAAGGTTGCTGGGGGTGTCTTTGGGGTGATTTAGGGGGGTCACTGGAATGAAGGGGATCTGTATAGGGGGGGTCCTGGGGCTTTTTGGGGTGTCTTTGCGGTGGTTTTGGGGTGCTGGGGGGATCTTTATGGTAGTTTTGGGGGGTGCTGGCAGGGGAGATTTGGAATAGGGGTGATCCAGGGGTTTTTTGGGGTGTCCTCGCACTGGGTTTGTGGTCTTTGGGCTGTAATTTACAAGCCCTGGAATAGGGCAGGTTTGGTTTACGGGGTTCTGAGCGTTTTTGGGGTGTCTCTGGACTGGGAGGGATCACCTTTGGGCTCCCTGAGATGTTTTTCGGTGTCTGAGAGAGTCTTTGGGGTGTTTAGGGAATCCCTAGAATCAGTGCGGTTCCTTTAGAGGAGTCCTGGGGTTTTTGAAGTGTTCTTCGGGTGATTGACGGGCTCTTTGAGGAGGTTTAGGAGTGCTGGGGGGCGGGCTAGGATGGTTTTAGAGGTCCCTGGAATGGTGGAAGCTGGTTTTGAGGGGTCCTGCATTTTTTTCGGATGTCCTATCGTAGGTTGTGGGTTACCAGGGTGGTATTTGGGGTGATTTGGGGATCCCTGCAATGAGGGCGACTGGTTTGCAGTAATTGAGAGTGGTTTTGGGGCACTGGGGAGGTCTTTGGTGTGGTTTGGGGGTCTGAGGGGATCCTTGGGCTGAATTTGGGAGTCCCTGGAATGGGGCAGGTTTGTTTTAGGGGGGTCCTGGTGCTCTTTGGGGTGTCCCAGGGTAACCCAGAGCGGGCAAACAGGGCCGTGGCACGGCAGTTTCTGTGTGGCAGTTCCTGCAGGCAGGGCTGCAGGTTTTCACACCAGCGAGGTTTGCTGTGAGTTGTTTGCTGTGTTTCTATTGGCCCCTTGGATTTGGGGTTTCTGTTAGGAATGGTTTTTACACCATGGAAAACTGTGCTTGCTACAAGTGAGTGTAACCAAAATGGAACCATCCAAAAAGGATGAGTCTGTGCAGACCCATTGTGTTTGAGCTGATCAGTGGTTCCAGGGGCCCTGTGGTGTGAAGAGCTGAACGATCTCCTTTCACTCCTGGCTGAGCTCAGGGAGGAAGTTGAAAGACTGAGTGAAAAGTGAAAGGGAAGGAAATGGGTGGAGCCAAGCCCTTTCATCTTTGAGGGAGGCAGAGGATTCCAAAACCTCCCATTGTCAGGGAATAGGAGGGCCCCTGGGAGATGAAGGGGAGTGGAAATGGGTCCTGCTTGGGGAGGTTTTAATAATAATAATAATAATAATAATAATAATAACAATAACAATAATAATAATGATAATAATAACTCTTCCCGACCCTCATCCCCTTGCCAGTTGCCACTTCAGAATATGTCTGAGGCCCTGGATCTAGAGACTCAGCCAGACGATTTAGATAACTGAGAAGAAAATAATCTGCCCAGCGAGCCTCCCAATTATACTTTGTCTGAAAGACAGATCAGCACTTCTGACATCAGAACTAAAGAAGGGCAATCGTGGTGGGTGATCCCTTCTGAGGGGAACAGAGGACCCCACAGGTCAACAGGACCCATCCCACAACTGTCCTCTTGGGTTGGCTGATGGTGTCAGGGAGCAGAATTGTCCCCATGTTATCCAGGAGGAGGAACTCAGAGAAGTGATGAAAAGACTGGATGTTCATAAATCTCTGGGCCCAGATGGGATCCATCCCAGAGTCATGAGGGAGCTGGCAAAGCCACTCTCCATTATTTACCAACACTCCTGCCTCACTGGGGAGGTTCCAGATGAAGCTGATCAATGTAAATCCCATTCACAAAAAGGGTGGGAAGGAGGATCCTGGTAATTCTAGACCAGTCAGCCTGACCTCAGTGCCTGGTAAGGAAATGGAACAGTTCATACTGATGTCATCACACAGCACTTACAGGCTGGCCAGGGGATCAGAGCCAGCCAGCACGGCTTTAGGAGGGGTTGGTCATGTTTGACCAACCTGATCTCCTTTTATGACCAGGTGAGCTCCTGGTGGATGCAGGAAAGGCTGTGGATGTCGTGTACCTGGACTCCAGCAAGGCCTTTGACACTGTCTGCCACACAGCATTCCCTGGAAAAGCTGCAGCCCACGGCTTGGACAGGAGCACTCTGTGCTGGGTGAAGAACTGCCTGGATGGCAGGGAACAGAGAGTGGTGGTGAACGGTGCTGAATCCATGTGGGGATCAGTCACCAGTGGTGTCCCCCAGGGGTCTGTGCTGGGGCCAGTCCTGATCAATATTTTAATTGATGACATGGATGAGGGTATTGAGTCTCTCATTAGTGAATCTGCAGATGACACTGAGCAGGGAGCGTGTGTCCATCTGCTGGAAGGGAGGAGGGCTCAGCAGAGAGATCTGGAAATGTTGGATGGACGGGCAGAGTCCAATGGGATGAGGTTTAATAAATCCAAGTGCCAGGTCCTGCATTTTGGCCACAATAACCCCCTGCAACGTTACAGGCTGGGGCAACGAGGCCGGGGAGGGGAACACAAACCCTGTGAGGAACGGCTGGGGCTGTTCAGCCTGGAGAAAAGGAGACTCAGGGGTGACCTTGTCACTCTCTACAGCTCCATTAAAGGTGGCTGCAGTCAGGTGGGATTGGTCTCTTTCTCCAGGCAGCACTGACAGAACCAGAGGACGCAGTCTCAAGCTGCATCAAGGGAAAATTAGGTTGGATATGAGGAAAAAGTTTTCCAGAGAAAGAGTGATCAAGTACTGGAATGCTTTCCCCTGGGAGGTGCTGGAGTCACCATCCCTGGATGTGTTTAAAAAAGACTGGATGTGGCACTCGGTGCCATGGTTTAGGTGAGGTGTTAGGGCAGGATTGGAGTGGATGATCTTGAATGTCTCTTCAACCCCAGTGATTCTCTGAATTCTGTGAAAACTCTCTCAAATACCAAAAAGCCCCCAAATCTCACAAAAGCTGAAATCCTCAAAAAACCTCTTATCCCTTCAAAAAATCAAAATATTCCCAATAGCCCCAAATCCCATATCCCGCCCCCAAAAAACCCCAAATCATAAAAAAACCACATCCCAACCCCCTCCATATCCCCAAAAATCTCAAATCGCAAAAAACCCCCCAACGCTCAAAACCGCCAAATCCTCCTAAAACCCCAAATCCGAAAAAACCCCCAAATCCTCCATGATCCCCATATCCCTAATTCCGTATCATTTTTCCCTTCTAGGCCGACATTGAGGAGGCTCTGCAGAACACCCGCAGTGAGTTTGGGGGAAAATTTGGGGATTTTGGACCTCCAAAAAAAATAAAATCTATCGATCCCCCCTGACTTCTCCATGATGATCCACGTAATAAAAACACTCGCGGGTTCCAGGCCCCGGCCGCTGCCAGTGCAGGTACCGGGGCCACCTCCCTGTCACGACAGGCGACAGCGACAGCAGCGCCACCGGCGCCACCCGGAAGTGGCCACCCGGGGGACCGGAATGTGTGCGCACCTCGGGTGGTGCGGCCGTGAAAAGGTTCCGGGGGGAAAGCGGAAGTGGAAGTAGAGAGGCCGAGGGAGGGTCCCGCTGCTATAGAGGCACCTATAGACCTCTAGACACTATAGAACCCCCCCAGACCGCCCTATACATCCCGCAAAGTTTCTCTATAGGAACCTCGGATCCCTAAAGAGCCTCAGCGACCCCATAAAAATCCCCTATAGGCGGCTCCTGGCGCTGCGTGCCCTCATAGATCCCCTATAGATCCCCCCCACCCTCAGCTTGCCGCCATTTTCCCCTCTAGGCCCTCAGGGCCCCACAGGCACCGGGAGAAGCAGCGGGATGAGGGAAAAAGATGGAAAATGAGGTGGGAAAATATCGGGATGAGCAAAAAATCACCGGGATGGGGTTGAAAAACACAGTGATGGGGAGGAAAAATAGCGGGATGAGGGGAAATAATGCTAAATGAGAGGTGAAAAAACCATCCACAATGAGGCAGGAAAATATCGTTATGAGGGGGAAGACAAATGAGGTGGGGGAAACACCAAAGTGACTTGGAAAACTCCAAAATGAGTGGAAAAACACCAAAGTGAGATTGAAAACTCCATACTGAGGATTAGAAGAGAGAAATGAGCTGGAAAAACACCAAAAATGAGGAAAAAAACAATAGAATAAGGCCCAAAATACCATAATTAGGGGGGAAAATCTTGGATGAGGTGGTAAAACACCAAAATGAGGCGGAAAACTACCAGGATGAGGGGAAAACCACTGAAATAGGTAAAACCCCACCATAGTGTGGAAGAAAAGCACCAAAACTTGGCAGAAAAACACTGGGATGAGGCAGAAAATAAGAAAAGGAGGTGGAAAAACATTGAGATATAGGGAAAACCAGAGAAATAAAAGGGAAAATACCAAAATTATGTAGAAATCTGATGAGATAAGGCCCGAAACACCAGAATGAGGCAGAAAAACAACGAGATGAGGGAGAAAATACCAAAATGGAAAACAGTGGAAACACAAGGGAATAAGGCCCAAAATACCAAAATGTGGTAGAAAAATACCAGGATGAGAGGGAAAATATTGGGATTAGGCAAAAAAACCCCAAAATGAGGTGGATAACAAATGGAATTAAGAGAAAAATGCCAGAATGAGGGGGAAAATAACGGGATGAGGGGAAAATAACAAAAGAGGTGGATAAAGACCAGGATGAGAGGGTAAATATTAGGATAAAGTAAAAGAAAAACAACAAGATGAGGTGGAAAACAATTAAAAGAAACAGAAATTTCTAAGACTGGACTGAGGGGTAAAAGAATGGGATCAGGGGAAAATCCTAAAATGAGGCGAAAAAGAAAACCATTAATTGGAAAAACACTGGGATGAGGGGCAAAACACTGGGAAAAGGTGGAAAAACACCAGGATGAGGCAAAACCACCAAAACGAGGTGAAGAAACAGGAGGTTTAGGTGGAAATAAAGGAAATAACAGAGGATTCATGGATCGGGATAAGGATTGGGGAAGATCCCTCAGGAAATCCTGTCCAGGCACGACAGACTCAGGATCTGGGATAGGATGAGTTT